TCTCTCTCTCTCTCTCTCTCTCTCTCTCTCTCTCTCTCTCTCTCTCTCTCTCTCTCTCTCTGTGTGTGTGTGTGTGTGTGTGTGTGTGTGTAGAGACAGAGACAGAGGGGGAGAGAGAGAGCAGCAGTCAGCTCTCCCCACCCGAGGCTGAAGGTCAACAGACGATCATGCTAAGCTTGCTAACAGCTCCACCCTCTGACTGCTGCAGGGGCGTGTCTTAGAGAGAGGCTTTTATACCAGAACACAGCTGTTAACCAATATGCAAATTAGCCTGCAGTACCACTGCTCTACTCATATGAGCAGCAAAAACACGTTTTTAGACCAAATAATACAGATTTGAACAAATACGCACAAAAACATCAAAATTAGAACAGAAACAGTACTATATAACATTTTAGACACATTCTAGGCAGTTTATCAGCTAAAAATTTTTAATTTTGGGGTAAGTTACTCTTTAAGGAGAAATGTATCCAAACTAATCAGAAGCCATTTTATCATGTAAGAAATAGGAAATATACTTTATTACTCATTAAAGTCATAATTTTTCAACTAGCTAATGTCTAAGTTACTGACCAATTTCAGGTCTGGTTTGGATCATTGTTGCTTATAAATTTTATATTTTTCTGGTATATATCTACTATTTTACATGATTGTTAAATGAAATAAACAGATATTAATTTATTGTAAAAATATTACAGATAATTTGCAACACAGAACCAGTTTTGCTTGTTGTTTATCTAATAGTTGCTATGGTGGCTGTGAGCCGTTCCCCTGTTTGGTCGCCGTTTCTGCTCCTCCATGCTGTCACAGAAGCTAACAGCGGAAGGGATGGGCGGGGCTCAGTCTATGGTTATTATTTAAAGCTGCTGTGTGTAGTTTTTTGAAAACCCAAAAACTTAGAAAATTTTTGAAGATACAACCTTGTAGTCCCTCCCCCCTGCTCTCAGCTCCCCTTCCTAAGCTCCTCCCCCACAGCAGGGAGTCGGGAGCGTGCACGCTTGTAAACAGGAGGTGAGCCACCATAACACACAGAGCTCAGAGCTAAGCTGCCGTCACAGGTAAGAACAAACCATCAAAAAAAATATTTTTAAATATCATGTCTTGTCCATACTTTATCTACACAAGTGCTCCTTTTGTCATAACGTTACATGTAAATTATGTTGCACTCTTTCTATAAGTTATAAATAGCTATCAAGCTAACACAACACCGAAGCTGCGCAGTGGTTCTGAAGTTATTAAGAACACTGAGAAACTAATCATGATCATTCAAGAAAAGGTAATCATCTCATCATCCCAAGAAAACAGTCACCGTTATTTCGTGATAACAACATAATTAACTCATTATCTCGAGAAAACCATGGGAAAAAAACTCTATGCGAAAAACGTCCACTCTCGGCCTTCATACTTTTAGGTCCAGAGGAACGTTTGCTAAATTTCCAGCCAAACCCGATCACCCCCACATGCTACGCAACGCCGGAGATCCGACATGGCGCTGGAGTGCCATTACCCCTGTGGATACTGTATATTACAGTACAGCTGCMTTGTATTTATGAGTCCTTACAGAGTGATATCAGAAACAGTTGACTAGARCAACCTACCACGTTGGTCAGCACATACAGTGGAGTGTACTGACTGTACATCACAGACATCTTAGCTGCATGGGCGGCAGAAAGAAGACGATCTCTTTCATTCCCAAGTAAAGACTGCTGAAAAGCATACAAATAAACCAAAAAATTATTCATTAAACCCAAGACAGATGAAAAAAAAGGGAATTCTTGTTGAATACTGTTTGTGTTCTTAACTTACAAAGTCAATATCTGGATTAGTTCTAAAAACACGGAAGTCTTCATCGTTCATGGACACTAATATGTTGGCAAGTAATCCCAGTGAGGTTCCAATTCCCTGTAAGCAAACAAACAAACAAACAAACAAACAAACAAACAAACAAACAAACAAACACAGGAAAATATATTATGACAATGTGTAAATTTGAGTGACCAAATTCAAAGCAGCAGTTTGGTGACTTTTGAAGTAATGTTCTGTCAAGTTATTAATAGTTTCCTTATCAGCTGTGGCATAAATCATAGAACATCAACTATGGAGAAAAGAGGCAGACATCTTGGCTAATGGCTAGCTAAACGAGTTACTGTTTTACATTGATATATACAAAGATATACATACATACATACATA